TGAAATGAGCCAAGCTGCCGAGAAGACCCAGGCAAATGGAACTGCAGAGTCTAGAGAGCAGCCCAGCTGCCTGGAAGAGGAATAGACTCACGGGGTCACTTGGAAAGGACGCTCTCCAACCCACTGAACTGCCTGTAGGCTCTGGAGTTCCTGGCCTCTGAGAGCTGTCACCTCCGCTGGGGTGGGCTTTGGTGATGCAGTTGTCTTTGAGTCATTTCTGCTGCTATAAGTAACCCCTTGCTCATAACCCCCAAACAACCCCTGGGCTCATAGAGTTGGACTTTGGGGGTACCCATGCATCTGGGGTGAGCAGGCATGTGCTACACCTCCCCCAGGGAAGTTCTCCCACACAACATAGGCCTGTCCCACCATCTAGTTTCTGGCTAGAACTCCCTGGTCCCATAGCAGCCCTTTGCTTCTGAATGAGAAAAGGAACTATAAAGCTTTGCTCGGGAATTGCCCTGAGTACCCGGGTCTTTCTTCCCTATTCCAGAAGTTCTGCTGTGATGCTCTACCCTTTCCTTCCTGATAGTTTTCCCACCACATGTCCCCCTTCAACGCGTCCTGCCTGTGAACTCTGGAGTCACCCCTTGAAGTCACAGGCAAAGGCATTCCATTCCAAGCTTTTTCATGAGGCTCACGGAAGGAAAAGCCATCAGGTTTGGTTGGTTGATTCCAGTCCCTACATCCACAGCTGTTGATGACTGTGCACGCTTCTGGGCAGACCCTCTGATGGACAGAGACCGTCGCCCTTAAGATTGGCAGAGCCTGGATCACAGAGACAGAACTCGGATGCCTGTGGCATTCCTACCACAGAAGGGACAGCAATTGGTGCTGCAGCTTCAGCAGTGAGGTGGACATTAGTAAAATCAGCTGTGGGCACTGGAGATGCAGCTCACTTGGTCAAGGTGTTTGCCTAACATACACAAAGCCCTGGGTTCAATCCGTAGGCCGCCAAAAAACCTGTTATATAGCAGGTTGGAGGCCAGTCTGGGATATGTGAAACACTGTCTCTAAAAACAACAGCTACGGAACTCCCAATACACAAACTTGTCCATGTCTCTTAGAAACATTTAAGTGACTGCCATACACACTTAGCTCTTCCACACAGGGTAGGCTATACTGAACAGCTTTTTATTGGCCCTTTTCTTTCTGTCAAGGCTTCCTTCCTCCCCCACCCCACACTTTCACCTACCACCCCCAGAGTTGGATAGGAGTAGCATAGGGAAAAGGGGGGAAAAGGAATTGGTAGGAATTTTTGTTTGTTTAAAAAGATTCAGCTTAAACAGAAAAATCTAACTGACATACGGCATTGGACTTCTAACCACCACAGCCTGAATGGGAGATTCTGGTCTGTGAGCTTCTCCTCTGGGAGAGGCTACAGAGTCCTGAATTCAGACTTGAAATACCTTTGGGCACCCTGGACTTGGGAAAACGAGGGTTCTCGCTTCCCTCTGGAAACTGGCTCCCTGTGGGATGGATGTCCTGTTCTCTACGAGAGGAGGCTGAATTCACGTTGATTTTTGTAGGATGGCCTGACAGCTAGGAATGGCTGGGAAAAACACCAAGGTTATATTGTCAGCTTCTGCCATACTGTAGAAAGAAGCCGAGGAGAGATTGCTGGCCCCCAGGGAGCTGACGTTTCTGCAAACTGGGCCACTTCATCTTCCCTCTGCCTATACGAAAAACACTCTGAAGAGTGAATGGGAGGAAGGATGGGCCCTGTGTCTTCCAAAAGGAAGCTTTTGTGACCAAGGGCGACTAGAAGCCACCAGGAGCCCTCAAACAGGGCTGTGGGAGGTGTGAAGGGACGTTCCCAGAGGAAAGCAGAGAGCTTGTCTAACGAGCATTTGTTAGCTGAATTGATCTGACTACTCAGGACTTTTCTCAGCCAGGACTGGGGCAGAGGGGGCTGTGGTGCCTTTTCATTCTATTTAGTTTCTGTTTTCCAAGAATGAATATCAGGGGAGAGCTTTGATTAAACAAGCCTTTAAAAAGGAGGCGAGGATGCCAGATTTTACAGAGAGCCTTACTGAGTCGCTGGCAAGGGGCCACCTGACACAATGTTTCTAGTCTAAGGATATTATCCCTTTTCTGAGAACAAAACTGCATGCCCACTAACAAAGCATAGAGATGGAAGGAAAAAAATTAGCTTAGCGCCAATGATACATATGTTCACATATAAGTAAAGATTGGATTCCAGGAAATCAGCATAATAGAAATTAAGAAAATTCTCATGCCCTCAGTGTTTGTTCCCCAAACCAGTTTTATTAGTTGCTGTTTCCTTGGCTTTTTCTTTCCTACAGCAGTTGTTGAGACCGTAGGCTGAACTCAAGACTTCATTGCCAAATATTCCATTGCTGCTCTTAAACAGACTCACAAAATGTTTGGCCTGATATTGTTGTTTTAAGATTTTTGAGGCTGCCGTGGCTGACTTTTTGAGACAGGGTCTCGTTTTGTACTGCAGGCTGCCCTGGAATCAGTGGTCATGCTCCCGGCTCTGCCTCGCAAGCGTGGGGATCTCAGGCACAGAACACGGTACTCTGCTTGTTTAGGATTTTTCAGAGGCGGGATTGTTGGTTGGTCTCTCGTCAGAGAGAAATTGGAAATAAGAAAACCCCATCTTTGGATACTTAACAAAGACTCTCTGAATGCCCATATGAGGCAGCTTCTGTGGCAGAGCTTACTCCATTGTTTTAAGGTACTGCAGATCTGGGAACATGTGATGACTTGACTTGGTCATGGCGTCTCTTCACAGCAAGAGAGCAGGGACTAAGACAGAATGCCGGGGGCTCCTCGGTGCAGGCTCTGTTGCTGTTATCCTGAATAAACTTACAGGGAATGGTGGAGCCAGGAGTCAAATCCAGAAGGCCTCTCTCCAGAATCACAAACATAATTTACTCTAAGTGTGTGACTTTTATATCCCAACTGTGCCTATGAGTTTTGGGTTCCTATCATTGCCCCTACTGGCCCCTCTTGGAGTCCCTCATCTGCAGCACTCTGTTCCCTCAGAGTCTATTTGCCATGTTTGTATCCCAGGATTCCCACTGCTTAGAACCAGATAAGTAGATTTGTCTCCCAGAGTCTTACAAGACACACACAGAAAGCCCCTGGCTCTAAAACCTTGTTCTTCTATCACGCCCAGCTTGAGCCTCTGATTACTAATACAGGAGAACTTCCTGCAGGGAGGACTCAGCCCAAAGACACAGGATTGCTCTGTGTGGGCAGCTTAGAACCCAACCTGTTGCTGCTCAGGCAAAGAACTGGAGAGATGGCGGGGGGGGGGGGGGGGGTGGGGAGGGGTGTGTGTAAAGGGCACGGGGGGTTTGCCGGGGGAAAAGGTTACAGAAGAGAGCTCCCTGGCATTGCCCAACTGTCTCCTCTTAAACCTGGGCAGAAAATCCATAAATGAACACTAAGAGGTTGTTGTTAAATAAAACCCATGTCTAAAATACTGTGCTGTCGTTAGCTAACTATGCTGGTCAATCAGTGTGATGGCATGGGTCTGTGGGTAGCTCCTACTGACCACACTTGATCTCTTCTGGTCTCAGAACAGTTGACAGGAGACACAAGGCTATGAGGAAACAAATGTTCAAGACGGAAATAAGAACACAGTATTGCCATTCGATTATCACATCATCTTGAGATTTTAGAAAGTGTGTGTTTGCACAGAAAGACCAGGAATGAATTCATCCAAATGATGAGATTTCACACGGGGATTTCAGTTCATCACTTTTTTTTTTTAAATGTTTTTATGTCTTCCCCAATTTTGTATAAAAGTATATTCGTTACAACTAGAAAGAGATTATTACACAACAAACAGAAAGTAAACACTTCTCAAACTTTGTTTAAAGACTCTATATTGGCTCCAGAGGAGACTTTAATCTATTCTCTGGCCACTCTTCTCTGGTCCAAGGAACTCTGCAGCGGCCACACACCATGTCTTTGGTTGGAAACATTGGCTGTGTGTCTTTGATCCTAGGCTTTGGGAGCTGTGGTTCTGGTTTCAAACCCTCCACTGGTTAGCTGGCTCTCTCATTTAAGACCTTGGGGATACATCACCTCTCATCTTAGCAAGCAATAGTGAAACCTTTTAACCCGCGAGCCCTTTACAGTAAAGGGATATGAACTGTGGTTTCGTCACCCTTCGTGTTTAACAGTGCGCATTCTCGTTCAGTCCTCCTGATGGCAGAGCATGGAGCCATCGGTGTGGTCCCTAAGCGGCAGTGGGAGAAAGAGGACATGTCCCCAGTTCTGTTCTCTTGTTTCCTTGACTCCGCACTCCAAGCAAGGAAGCCATCTTGATGCACACCTGCAGAGGAATATAGCCATGGTCTTCCTGTGGGCTGGACCTTAGAGGCTTCTACATGAGACTGCATGTTTCTAGCAAATGTCATGGGTGTGACAGACAGCTGTCAAGAGAGTGGCATTGGGCACAGGCATGAAGGACAACAAAGGCCCTCAACTTCCCAAAGATATGGGAAGCTTACTTTTATCAGTGGTCTTGTATCCAGGGTAAAGTTTAAGAACAGCGTATCCCCAACTCTCAAGTCTTCCTGTCTCCCACATCCCCAAGTTACAATGGCCTCTTCCCTGCTGTCATTTCAGTGAATGACCTTCAAGTTCTAATCGTCAGCCCTTTCTAGGATAAGCGCAGGAGCTCATTCATGGTGGCAGGGTCCTGGTCTCTAACGGGGGGTCATGTGCTTAAGTAGTGTTGATAAGTAAAGGCACAGTGTCAGAGCCAAGGTCAGCAGAAGTAAGATGACAGAGACATGGAGAGGGAGGTGAGAGTTAGTGGCCGCCCTTCCATTGGGGAGCAGTCATCAGAGCCAGGGGTTCCAGTTGTATCCAAAGACCTTTCTCCTCGGCAACCAGGACGTCTCAGACATCTTCCTGAACTGTTTGCAGCATCGTGTAGGCCAAGCGTGCCAGACATGACGTGAGCAAACATACCTGAGGGTGTTTTGACATGCATCTGACTTTCCCTTGCTTTACAGTATTTCCTCATCTCTCCCTCAAAAAACTTCAGGATGTCTGCGGACGGCACCCTCTTCTCTACCACAGAACTGAACTTTGAAGCAGGACACAAGAGGTAACTTTGCCAACCACCTTCCCTGGAGAATGACTGTCCGTAACTCAAGGAAAAATAAGGGAATCGCCAGATATAAACACAAGGTGGCAGGTCCCTGTGCAGCCTGGATTATGGCTAAGACCTCAGCTTCAGCGGGCTCCAAACCCTGGTGTAGGGGAGCGCATGCCCAGAACTGGGGGTGCGGGGTAGGAAGGGCAGCATCTGGACCATGGAAAGTCAGAAAGTATGACAAGAGAGGTCAGGCTTTGAGATGGAAGCCACGGACCTTGGGAAAGCCAGAGGAGGCTCCTGGCTCTAGACCAGCCAAGAAAAGTAGGGTGGTTGTGGAGGATAGGGTGTGGCTCTGTGGTGGAGTGCTTGTCTAGTGTAGGGAGGCCATGGCTTCCATAACCAGCACCTTGAATGAATGAGTAAAATGTGAGCCTCAATTCCTGGAGAATGGAACAGGTCCATTGCAGGGACATTGTAATGCGGAGAATATGACTTGGCTGGCTTTGACTCCAGACTGAGGAATGAGGGAATGAGCCCCATGGCCAGAGCGGGAAGGCGTCCCAGTAGCCTTTGAAGGTGCCTAAGAAGCAGAAGGCTGCTCGCTCTCTTCCTCTGTGGCTGTGTCAGCAAGCCTGTCTCTTGCACTTGGAATGTTACCCTGACAGCTTCAGTCTTCTCGTGGGAGTCAGAGACAGCGGGAACCTGACCGCCTCCACAGCGCTCCGGGTGACCATTGTGAACATCAACGATGAGATCCCACGCTTTACCAGGTAGGCCCGAGGGCACGCAGGACAGGGCTCAGAGAGTCTGCTGCCTTAGCTGTCTAAGGCATGGCAGAGAGTTGTGCTTTGGTCAGGTCTAGACGAGAGATAAGACATAGAACTCTGCAGGGTCCTTCGTGCCTCTTGGCCCCGTGTTCCCCCTTTGCTCGCCAGGCCTCCTGACCCCCCACATTTATTCACATGCACCATGGGACTACAGGCATGGTGGAAAGGGGGGCAACGGCTGAGCACAGCGCTCCCTGTGAGTCCCGGTAGGAACGCAGATGAATACAAGGCAGGCCCTTAGTTAACGTGCCCCGTGTCAATAATAGAACCCAGAAGCCCATGATGGTATCATAAGGCCACTGGCGCACCAGAGTTTCTTCTTGGCTTGGTGAGCCCAGAAAGACATATTGCTGTGGCTGCCACATTTCATGCAGCAGGAACCTGGCCCCGTTCTGGGCCTGCTGCACATGGGGATTCAGGAAGGTGGGAGGGGAATTAGAGGCGGCAGACGCCCTGCAGAACCGCCTCGCTCTCTGCTACCCTGAGTGCGCACAGGCCCCAGTCACAGGGAAACAGCGCCATCTCGTGCTCGGAGGTCAGCAGCATTAACGGCTGCGAACAAATACTGCACAAGCTGCTCTCCAAACCCAAAGGCAGGGCACAGTTATTATTTGTCCATTGAAAGCAAAACTAGAGCTGGGAAGGTGGCGCAGCAGTTAAGAGGACGTATTGCTCGTACGGAAGTCTAGAGTTCTGTTTCTCCGTACCCAGCACCTGCCCTGGGCGGCTCACACTGGTCCATTACTTCAGTCCCCGAGGATGAACACTCTCTCCCAGCCTTCTTGGGCACCTACACCCACGTGTTTACATGCACACACAGAGACATATGCATAATAAAGTAGACCTTTGAAATTATTAAAAATAGCCGGGCAGTGGTGGTGCACACCTTTAATCCCAGCACTCGGGGCAGAAGCAGGCAGATCTCTGTGTTCAAGGTCAGTCTGGTCTATAGAGTGAGTTCTAGGACAGCCAGGGCTGCATAGGGAAACCCTGTCTCGGAAAATCAAAGACATATGTGTGTACATATATACATATATGCATATATAATATTTAGCATTACACACAATATATTATGTATTATATATTTTAATCATATATTTACATTTATCTATTTTGTATGCTTACATATTTATATATTTTATATTTTATATATGTTATATATGTATATAATAAAATGAAAATATTTGAAACAGCCACAAGCATAAAAGCAAGGTGAAGCACTTGCAAACCTATTTTAAGAGGCTGGAAAGTAGGTTCTGTAGATAAAGTGCTCACTGTGTTCAATCCCTAGAACCCACGCAGAGAAGCCAGGTGTGCTTGCACACTTACAATCCCAGTGCTGGGGAGACAGAGACAGACAAATCTGGGGTTCACTGGCCAGCCAGCCAAGCCTCCTTGGTGAAAGGCCCTGTCTCAAATAAGAAAACAAGTGGACAGCCTTGAGGAACAACATCAAGGATGTTCTCTGGCTTCTGTATGCACGTGTACTGCATGCATGAGAACATGCAAGCAGACACCCAACCAAACATGTTTTAGGACTGGAAGGTTTTAAGGGTACCGTGCATCCAGGCTAACTTCATGCCGCTTTGCAAACCCAGCACAGTGGAGACGCTTCTGTGGTTCAGTGGTTACAGCAACAAGTAGGCATCCTCGGGATGTTTTCATCAGTGCCTGGAGCTGGGGTCCAGAGCATTTCTACAGAGGGGTTGGCCTAGAAGCAAACACCAGTAGGTTGAGAAACGGTTGTGATATGCCAGTTCAGATGCAGGTTGAGGCATTGGTCCGCATCGCTCTGTGGACCAAAAGATCTAGGAAGGTGATAGCTGTGGGGTTGGCACCCCTATAGCCAGAAATACTCTCCACAGCACAAATGAGAAGCACGTAGTAGCTTCTCTGGTGCAGATCTGCTTTGAGCAATGTCTTCTGAAATATAAACAATAAGCTGTTTAGCAGAGAGGGGAACTGATCACCAGAGGCACCTTCAGACTCTGGTTCTCACTCGTGATTTGAGAGCTGGACCGGAGTCAGCTCTGAGTTGGTTTTGCTTCAGTGTTCACGGTGGCGTCAAGGTGTGTCTTCAGGAGCCTGCACTCCAGAGTGGGGTGGGGCAGGACACTGCCTCATTTTGCTCAGGCTGTTCAATGACAAGCGGCAGAGCACTTTTGTGGCCATTCGTCCTCTGGTAATGGGTGCCAGCCAGGCAGTGCTGCCGTCTAGCTGCTCACCCACAGGGAGGAGGTTGCCCGATCACACAGAGAACGTGATTACCTACCCACCGTGGTCCTGAGCTCTGGCCGTGAGGTGTAGCACAGAGCTGAGTGCAGATGTGAATGGTAATATTTATCCTCTCTGGTTATTTTAAGATTTATTTATTATGTATACAGTATTCTGTACACAAGCCAGAAGAGGGCACCAGATCTCATTCCAGATGGTTGCAAGCCACCATGTGGTTGCTGGGAACTGAACTCAGGACCTCTGGAAGAGCAGTCAGTGTTCTTAACCACTGAGCCATCCCTCCAGTTCCTCTCTGTTTGGGTAGACCTGAAGTCAGAGCTTTTTGTTGGGTAATCTTCTTTATAGACATAAATCTTAGATCAAATACTAAAACTTTATTTTCTGCCACACTCGCTGTCAGGACAATGAGGCGCTCTCCCTAACAGCCAGCCCTGTTTCTTTCATAAGAACCTGGCACAGCCAACATGAACTGGAGTCATCGAGCAGGGTTTAAGCTCACATCCCAACTTGAACCAGATGCTTCTCAGGGGCAGGACTGTCTCACACGATGGAGTTTGTTTAGAAGCATCTTCAACATGGGAAGAACAGTTCCCTCCCCAAGTTGTGACAACCAAAAGATGTGTCTTAGTATACTTCCCCCCCCACACACACACACACATACACGCGTCCAGAACCACTGCCTAGAAGGAATCAAAGATGGGAGTGAGGGCAGATTCCTCCCGTGCTGTCTTCTGTCTGTCCTAGGCAGCCTGGGGCTCACTGTTACCTCTGACCCTGGGGAGTGTGTGCACACCTGCGTCTGTCTCAGTGAACACTCTGGTCTCTGGGGCTCTGGAACCTGCATTTCCACTGAGCTCACTGGTGATGCTGCTGGTGCTGTGAGTAACTTAGAGAGCCCAGGACAAGGCTTTGCAGGCAGCAGGGGCATCTTTATTTCCTTTTCTGCCACTGTGATATGCTGTGATAAAACATCTGGCCCAGGCCACTCACACAAGGAAGGGTGTTTGGGGGTTGACAGTTACAGAGGAGGAGACTGCATCACCATCACCGCTGGTAAACAGGACCCCAGGCAGGTAGAGCAACAACTTAGGGCTCACATCTGTAACCTCAATTGGGAAGCGGAGCTCAAACTGGGAAGGGGGAGTCTTTCAGAACCTCAAAGCTTACCCCCAGTGAAGGACTTCCTCCAGCAATGCCACACCTCTTAAGTCTTCCCCAAAAGCACCAGCTGGGGAGTAAATATTCAAATGCCAGAAACGATGGGGGACATTTTATCCTTCAAATCACCAAGCACCTTTACTACCCTAGCTAGGAAGTTATTAGACCCTATCGAGTGGATAGAAAACATCCTGCATTAGAAACAGAGTTCTGTTGGCTCTAGAAAACAAGGCCACCTCTCTCATCTGGCTCCATCTCTGGTCCCTGCTGCCCCTGGCTCCTCTGTCTCTGCCTACTTCTGTCACACACTCTGAGAAGGGAGATGGAGAGTGAGAAAGAGGCCAAGGGCTCACTCAGTGGGACCCCAGACAGGGAGGGCCCCACACTGGAGTGACTTCTAAGACAAAACAAGCTTACTCCTCCCCGACAATAGGGTTCATGGTGGGAGACCCACCCATGGGTGCTATTGGACCCAGGAATTGGGGAATAGTCCATGGGGTAGGCTAAGATGAAGACCTGGGTTCGGATTGTTTCTGCTTCTCTTGAGTCCAACTCCAGGCTCTGTCTTGTGTCTGCTTGCTCTGGTCAACCCTGTGGGGTAGCAGTGGTGAGGTGAGGGCAGCAGAGCAGTCAGAGCCCTCGACATGAGAGCAGCATTTGGAGCTGAGACAAAGCCCGGCTCACTTCAAGGAGGGGCCACGAGGGGAAACGGCACCATAGGAAACAGGGAAATTAAAAGTGGCTCTGCCACGCTGAAATGATCTCACTACTGGCCTTTTACAAACTCATGGGGATCTGAGAAAGGTGGGTACGCTGGGCCCTTGGCGTGCTAGTGTACACAGTGACCATTGGGGAACAGTGCCATGGCCGTGTGACTGCCAGGGGCACCTCAGTTGAGAGAGCTGGCCTGGGAAGGAGAGCCACCTGAAAAGATGCCCATATTCCATGTGGAAATGTTGTATCCTCAGGCAAAAGAAGAAATAAACAAAAATCGGAGATGCGAGAATAGGCAGCATTGGGTTTCTGGCAGGTTTCACAGGGTGGATTCCACAGGGTGGCGTCATGCGCAGTGAGGAAGCCTGCAGTCCGGAACATCGCAACCGGATGGGTTCTTTAAAAGGATCCAGACAAAAACAGGGAGGAGAGACGCTGACTGGGTGGATGCATCTTTATGTGAGGGGGTGTTAAAGATAGAAGGCGTCAGGCAGATAGTCAGTGGCTGTGCCCGTGTAAATGGCTGCAGGAGCAGCAGCCTGGCACGCCTCTGCATCCGCAAGGATGTGATCTTTGGAAATACAGACGCCAGTCACCCTCCTTTCAGCCGCTGTGTTCTCTGCATGTTGACGCCACTCAAGCAATGCGGTGCTATATTTAGCACACCCCAAAATACCTACAGCCCAGTCCGCACCCGCCCCTACCCCTGCAAATTAGCCACGTCTGCAATGTTTTTGTTCCAGCCCAAGGAGAGAGTACTCCATCCCAGAGGAAGTGCGTCCAGGAACCATCGTGGCGAACATCACGGCGGAGGATCCTGATGACGAGGGCTTTCCTGGCCGCCTCCTCTACAGCATCACTACCGTCAGCAGCTACTTTGTCATAGACCAGCGTGAGTCATCCACAGCATCCTATCCCGTAGCTGCTAATGCTGCCGCTGGAGTGGTTTGTAATGCTGTCTTCCTCCCTGGCACTTGGCCTGCCGTTCTCTCCAGGTTCAGCCTTCGTTGTCAGGGAAAAGATGTAAGAAAGGCAACCAGCCAAGATCGTGGAGCCTGAGCAGGGCCGACTGTGAACAGGCTGGGTCACCTGTCACTTTTGTGGAAGGGGGTGAAATTTTTTTTCTTCACTGCCATTAAAATTAAGGTTGAAATCCCTATAAATAGAATCCACATATCTCCATCTATGTGGAAATGAAGATTAAAGGACACAAAGGAAATATATTTTATGGTTTTTCTTTTTAATTTGATTTGAGGCAGGGTTTCTCTGTATAGCCCTGGCTGTCCTAGAACTCACTCTGTAGACCAGGCTGGCCTTGAACTCAGAGAGCTGCCTTAGTGCTAAGATTTAAAGGTGTGTGCCACCACTGCACAGTGCTTTTTTTTTTTTTTGCAAGTCTTGGTATGCAGCTCTGACTGAGCTATAATTGCTATGTACCAACTCATAGCAAACCTTCTGCTTAAGCTTCTTGATTACTGGAGTTACAGACATTAACCACTAGTCTTGTCTGGAAAATTGCATTTTTTATACCATTTGATGAAAAAGTAAAGGAATAATTATGATTGAGGGACAAAGGGTCTAAAGCTGAAGTAAATTACACAAATCCTGGTGTTTGGATGTCTCTGCCCTTCTAGATGGTGGCGCTTACCAATCTCTGGACAAATCTCTCAAGTGAAGGCCTGATGGGTTTCTCTGGGGAGGACAGAATAAGGGTAGAGAGGCCCTCCTGCTTCCCCTGCTATCTCAGACATCAGGGCGCTATGTGGTGAGCCCCATCACTCTCTGGAAGGAGCCTGTAAAGGAGCTTGCGCTCCTGCCCTGTGCACACATTTCTAAGAATGCAGAAGGGAAGAGTGGTATGAACTTAACTGAAACAAAGTGAAGGCAGATGTGTAACGTCAATGTCTTCAGTAGTCGCATTAAAAAATGAAATTACGGCCGGGCAGTGGTGGCACATGCCTTCAATCCCAGCACTCGGGAAGCAGAGGCAGGAGGATCTCTGTGAGTTCTGGGCCAGCCTGGTCTACAGAGTGAGCTCCAGGACAGGCTCCAAAGCTACAGAGAAACTCTGTCTTGAAAAACTAAAAAATAAATAAGTCAGTAAATAAATAATAAAATAAAATTATTCTTAAGATCCAAAATATCGTAATTACAGCATTATTGATATTTGAAAGTAATTGAGATACTTTATATTGTTTTGTTTGGAAGCTTGTGTATTTTATACTTAAAGCATATCTCAGTACAGACTGGCCCCATTTCGGGGGTTACATAGCTCCATGTGGCTAATGGTGATGCACAGGACAAAGTCTCTCTAGATCAGCTTGCTAGAGTGTTGGCCCTTGTGTTCCCGCATGAGCAGCCTTGCACAGAATGTGAGCTTCCTCTCCTCTGGAACAGCCACCTTACTGGAGACTTGGCACTCCCCAGGCATGATGCTGAGCAACTGCACATATCCTTCCTAGGCACTTACAAAACCCAATGCACTAACATCATCCATGGTTTACAGAGGAAAGCCGAGGGCTTGAGAGAGACCTAGACAGACAGCTTCAGCGAGTTTTCCCAAGAGCCCCAGCTCATGGAAAGACTTGGAAGTCCGCGCCAGATGATGCTAGAGCCTGTCCCTTTAGCCATCATATGTCCCATCTCCATAACTCCAGGCCACATCAGCCTTCACTTTACATGGTGCTTTTGTGGAAACCAGCATTGAATAATCCCAGACCGTATGTCACTGGTCCTATAAGCGCTGGAGTACACCTAGTCTGGGCCTGGGGAAGTCATGAGCGTGCAAAGTCAGCACCTAGGATCTGTGTCTGGAAACTTCTGAAGGCTTTTGATATTGACAACCTCACACAGATAAGAGTGTAGTGATAGATGATCTCGGTTGAAAACACTCCGGTGTTGCAAAAATGAACTTTTATAACTACACACACACACACACACATACACACACATGCGCCACAAACACACAGTAGTGCTGGGGATTGAACCCAGGGTGCTGTCTGGGCCAGGCTGACACTAAGCCTCAGAGCTTATTCCCACCTCCCCCTTTTTTTGAGTATTTAAATTAAGACTGGTTCCAAGTAATAAAAATGAAAGCAAATCAAGCTAAGCATGAAACTGGGGAAAGAAAGGAAGAGGAGAAGAAAGGAGAGAGAGGAGGGGTGTGGAGGAGAGGGAGGCACATCTCCTCAGAAAGAGTCAAGTGATCTGGGCATAGGAGAGTGGGAGCCAGCGCTGCCCCAAGGATCTGGGCCTTCACTTGGAGCTCCAGCGGTAGCCTCACTCATTCTCCAAAGTGTGTTTCTTAGCAACAGATTCTCCAGTAATTGAAGTCAGTTACTCACCTGTTCTGTCAGCTGTGGACAGTGCTGTACCCAGGGCTCAACCTGGAGTCCAACCTGGTTTTAGAGCAGGGTCAGGTCAGATGTCCAATAATGTCAAACAGAGAAGCACACATCATTTTACAGAAAGACATGTCTGTATAGGGCTATACCCAGGGTAAACCAGCCATCATTCTAGAACCATCATTCCTGGGCTCCCCATGTTCCTTGTGCCTTTGTCCTTCATTTGACCTCTAACCTCTGACTTCTTAGTGACTGGGACAATCCAAGTGGCCCAAAGGCTGGATCGAGATGCAGGTGAACTGAGAGAGAATCCCATCATTTCTCTGGAGGTTCTGGTGAGGGACAGACCTTCTGGGGGTCAGGAGAACCGTATCCAGATAACCTTCACTGTGGAAGATATCAATGACAACCCTGCAACTTGCAGCAAGCTCACTTTCAGGTACTGGTGTGTTGAAATGTGTTCCCTCTTGGGTGGCCCTCAGTCTTTGGCTTCTCTGACCTCGGATAGCATCAGGGAAATGGCTCTTGACAAGCAGATCTGAGTGCCCCATTTTATTCAAAGGTCTTTTTCTTATTCTTTTCCCTTCCTCTTTCATTTTCTTTCCTCTTCACTACTTTTCCTCTAAGTGTGCTTACAGTGAATTTTCATTTCAGCACATTTGCACCAAGGATCCTCTCTGGACTGTGTCTTGTCTTTCTTTATTGCCCCCAGAGGTTAGAAAGTGCTGTTAACACTTGTAATGGAGTCAGGGCTGCTAACTAGGATCTCCCAAAGACACCCATAGTAAATAATATGAATAAACCAAGCTAAGTACTGGGGTAAAGCGAAGGAAAGCATATAATTCATCTTTCGTAACTTAATAAATGAGAGGGAAATACAGACGCATGTGGGACATGAATTATTTTATATATATGTGTGTATCCACTTGCTCTTTGAGTCATAATTAATTCACAATAATTTTAAAATAAAGTCCTTTAATAATGACTTATTTTTATTTTATGTGTGTTAGTATTTTACCTGCATACATGTCTGTGTACTGTATGCATGTTTGGTGCCTGTAGAGCTCAGAAGAGGGCATCAGATCCCCTGGAACTGGAGTTATGGAGAGTTAGTTGTGAGCCTCCATGGAGGTGTTAGGAGCTGAACCCAGGTCCTCAGGAGGAGCAGCAAAGTGCTCCTTTACATGCTGAGCCTCCTCTTCATCCCTACCAAGTCCTTTTCTAGTCTGGGTTACTATGCTTTCCTTCTTCTTAAACCATAGAATTGTCTTTTTGCTATTTTGACAAAAGTCACAGATTGGGAATTCTTCCATAATAGCTTCTGTTCCGTGGTTTCCATGTTAGCCAGTCTTTGGAAGTCTTAATGGGGCAGTGTTGGGGTAGAGTGCATTAGCAATGACCTTTGTGGGCTGAGTGCCCTGCGTCTAAGGTAGGACTGGAGATCAGAACAGATCTCTGTGTTGATGACCCTATAGACAAAGGCTCTTGGGTTGTCTTGACTGGGTTTTCAAGTTTGCTCCAGGTGGCTTTGAACAGACTCAGCACAGAGCATGGTCATGCAAAAGGTGAAGAGTCCTAGACAAGACCATCCCGGGTATGTGATAACTGTCAAGTTTACGTGTTATGGTTATGAGCAGCTCCCCACTTCTACAACTTGCCTGCTCTGCTCAGTGTTCGAGGGTCAGTGTGATGACTTGGAGTCTGTTCTGAACACATCTCAGATCCGCCATGCACCTTGCCCTATTCCCCGGAAGTCTGCCTTCTTCCACCTTCTAAAGGGTCTGTCCCTGTAAGGCATCCCTTTGCACAAAGCACTCTCTTTCCCTCAGTTCCAGTTTTAGGGTCTTCTCCCTCCACTGGTACTTTCCAGTCTCTGGGTAGCAAGGATGCACAATTCTGTTTTTTTTCTCCCAGGTTTTTCAAGACAAGGTTTCTCTGTGTAGCTCTATATATCAGGTTGGCCTTGCACTCGCAGAGATCTGCCTCCCGAGCGCTGGGATTAAGGGTGTGCACTACCACAACTGACTGCTCCACTCTTATTAACCCTGAGAGAGGTGTCAGCCCTTGCACTTCCTACACACACCAATACATCTCTTTACTAAATCTAGATTCATCCTTATCTGCCATCTACCTCCTGCTGAGACCTGGTTGATGCAGTCACAGCCTGGACCATGTTGTAGACTACTCTCCAAACTTATGCATTCCAGATGCTCAGTCTCTTCGATGGGCAGGGATGGGTACCACAGATAGTTAGGATGTGACTTCCATAACACCACAGGCACAGTCTAAACCTCATAATTTGCTACCAGAAGGGTCCTGTGGATGGAGCAGAGCTTTGCTGAACCTCTCACTTCCCTTGGAAATCTCCATTAATGCTGGCCCTCTGCAGCGGTCCCAATAAGTCCTGGAAACTTCTCTTTATCCCAAGTCTTCTGGCTCTTTGTTCCTCCACACGGAGGGGTATCAGTGCCTGGAGTAGACTGGGCTGTCTCAAGTCTCTTGGTTTGTTTTCTCCTTTTCTCGTATCTGTTCATCGAATATTCTGGCTTCCTGTGGTCTCAAGTCCCCTGAGGTGGTAGGGCATATTACCCAGTGAAATCACATTTGGAATGTCGTCGGTCCTCCTGTCCAGGCAAGCCCACAGAGAGTCCTGCTCTTGATTTTCTCTCTAAATTAGCCCCGAAGTCCGTCACACTAAGTCAGTTCCTGTGCTAATTATATTCATGTCTGAAGATAATTCTAAATAATGCAGTCTTCACCTCCAGGCTTCTGCAAAGATGATAGCTCCCAGCAGGGGTGGGGGAGGGAGCTGTTGACGGCTTAGAGGAATTATAAGTGAGGTGGGTTCTTGAATGGCTCCTTCCTTTGAGCTCTAAAGTGGAAATCTTCACTTTAAGAGCTCAGCCTGCATGTCCACGACACCCGAACATACAGACCTGTGGGTGGTACTGAAAGCCCTGTCCGCCATCCCTTCCTTGATCCCTTCTCCATCCCAGCCATTACAACCCCAAGCATAAAAGCCAAACAAAACCCCAGGACAAAGGGAAAGGAACTGCATAGTCCCTGACATTTACACTGGAGCACTGTGTCCTGACGCTTCTGCAGATGGGCTGGAGGGTGGGAGGGCTGGGTGCCAGCATTCATTAAGAGCAGCTGGGTGATAGCTGGGGGCTCAGAGGCTGTGGGTGGGTGGGGCAGGACAGCCCGGAGGAGGCAGATCCTTTCGGACGCCCACATCTTTGCCCGGGGAGGCCGTGGCATTCCCAGGTTGATGATGGATGGGCCCAGGGCTCCAGGGGAGGCATTGAAGGCAGAGAGATGGCCTCTGGTCAGGCTGTAAATTGTCCAATCCTTGGCTGAAACTGCTTTGCAAGCTGTTCATGAACAGGAGGCGGATCCAGAAAGCTGCTGGGCAAGCCACCTTTGCCTGGTGAGGGCCTCGGTCTCTGCTGGCTGTGAAGGAGAGAAGCAGCTTCCCTGAGAGGCAGGGATTGACAAATGAGGGGGAGTGGCTGTCCAAGAAACAACGTTTGCGCGGGAGGGATACCAAGTGTCAGGGAAAAATGAAAAGAGCGTGTCAAAACTGTTGATGTAGCTGACGGTGCCTGCCTAACGTGCAACAGGCCCTGGGTGAGATCTTCAGCAGTACATGTGTGCACGTGTGCGCATACACACACACACACACACACACACACACAGAGAGAGAGAGAGAGAGAGAGAGAGAGAGAGACAGACAGACAGACAGACAGAGACAGAGACAGGGACAGACAGACAGAGAGGGGGGCAGACAGACAGACAGACGGAACTGTGCACTCCGGTACCAGGATCCTGAATCGCTCAGACGGCACACTCTACCAGGTCCACAGTGCTTTTATCAATGCTCCACAAACATCCATGATCTAGATAAAATTATATAATTGACGGTGTTATGGGGAGCTCACTAGTGATGGCCACTCAGGCATAGTGTACAGACAATTGGAAGTCTCTATTCTAGCACCTAGGACCACACCCAAGTGTTTAGGAACCTGGGTGGAACCCCGAGTGTCCGGAACATGGGGTTTTTAAAAGCAGAAACCACATCTCAAGGGCTTCACAGAAGTAAGCCGTTTGAATCAGGCAGTTTTAGCAGACACTAAGGTAAGTTAGCTCGGACATCCTGACCCTGGGTACCTAGAATAGAGTGAGTAGTTTTCCATGGGGTTCTCTATCAAGGAGACCAGATTCTCGTTAAACCTGGGATGGCCTCAGCCAGAATACAAGATGGAGGAACCTCTGCACTACCTTGCCCCATCACGTTCCCCACTGGTTCTATGGCATGAGTCAAATCATTGACTCATCCTGTTCTAGCAGGGCACAGTTGGTGCTAGGGACCAGTTGCTCATTTGGCCATGCAGCTGAGGATGTCGGGTCCCTCTGTTAGCCCGATCTGGTTAAGAATCACGGTCTAGCTAATGCTGACAGTAAGGTGGTCAGCCTTGGTGATCAGGTGACCAGAGACTGATAGCCAGTTATCTGATCTATACCTCCCTTTTCCCCTTTCTTTGCGCTTTTCCCTGGCCATGGCAAAATTTTCTCTAATTAAACGTAATTGGTTGTTAGCCTCCGCACTTTTCTGTGAATACCCACACCCGATCCAGGTGCGCACTTTCCTGAACTCGGGTCCACGAGAATGGACGATTGTCCTAAGGGTTTAAACAAACACACACAAAGAGACCTGCTCACTTACCAAAGAGCAAATGGCCACTTTATTAAACTCAAGTTGGGTGTTTATACCAATGGGCAAGAGGGTTCAAAAGGGCACGGGCCCCCTCCCATCAGGAGCAGTGGAATAGGATGACAGGCGCCCAGGCGCCCCAGGCAGAATCAGCGGGAGCCAGGTGTGGCAGGCGTGTAGGGCCCGCAGCTGGAACCTTGTTTACAGGTGGAATCACCATAACAAAAGAGAGCCAAGTTCTTTCTAAACTATACCCTCAAGCCAGAGCTAGTGCAGAATCTCCAGGGAGCCAGAGGTCAAATGGCCCTGCTAATCGCCAGGAAGAAGGGAAAAAGACCTGTGTACCTACAATTGGTTGGGATAGAAACAGCAGATTTCCCCTAAAGCCATACATAATCATCTCCATTTCATCAAGAGAAGATGTAAGCCTCTTCAATTGTGCAGAACCACTTCTGCTAAGGAGTCTGCTTGCTTCTCTAGTCTTGAGTCCTCTAGCATCCTTTGACTTGAGTTCTCTCGTCCTAGTCCACGTGTTTAGTCAATTTTCTCAAGTTTTTATCCCTGATCGTGACGACCAATGTTCCTATGACTGTTGCCCCACCAATACTGGCTCCAGTCGGGAGCAGAACAAGGATGGGAGCAGCTTTTTTTTTCTCATTGCAGCCTCTGGTCCATGTTAATGCGTGCTCTTCTTTCCCTATTATGTAGACACACCTGGGGCAGGATGTACATGAGGACACAGAGGAGGGTCCTGGTGTTTTGGAATGCCTCTGAGGAGACACATCTAGTTAAACCATTGGTACATGCCCACCAAGTGGTCTCAGGGGGCACAAAGTTTGGCTGCTGATGGAAGACTTGAACCTGGGGAGTAATAGCAAACACTGGAGTCAAGTGAGGTTTCTCCATCAAAAGTCCTGGACTCCAGGCAGGTTCCGGCTCCCTGTATGTCCCCCAGTATCAGCTTACGCTGTTCCTAGTTGCAGTTGTTTGTATTTTCTGGGGGACCAATGGTCTAGTTGGTGTCTAGTCCTATGTAGTAAGGGGTTGAGGGTTCAGCACAGTCAGCAGTTCTGACCCATTCCCATCTATGAGTGGTCAGATGAACTATGAACCTTGTCAAGGGTAGAGAATATTGAAGCAGGATTCCCAGTCCCAGTGCCAGTGGGGCCTAGTGTGGTAGTGCTGTTGGTGCTGGCTGCAGCCAGTCTCACAGAGGGAATGTTGGTTGGGGCGAACTCCTTTCTCTTGGACTGTTGGGAACCATCAGTCTGGGGTCTGGAGAGGTGGCCTCCCTGAATAGTAAACATTTCCTGAGTCTGTTTTGGTAGCATGATAGAGTCTTATTTTCCAGCTTCTTCCAGTGTCCCACAGAACATTGTCATCCCAATGTTGACTCCAATCTCTCAGTATTATGGTAATGGGATTGCAGGTCCCTATTATGCAGTGTTCGGGAGATCCCCTCTTTGTGTGTGTGTGTGTGTGTGTGTGTGTGTGTGTGTTCTTTGGACACAGATAGAACTGGGTTTTCTGTTTTTCTCTCTCAAGAGATAGGTCTCTACAACCATCGCTTCTGTAGTTTAACCAAGCTCCATAAGTGGGCGTAAAAGAACAAAGGTCTATATGGAACCGGGGTTGCTAATCTGTAGTTGAATTGACGATCACCTTTCCTGTGTCTGTTATTCTTAATTCTCCAGCCCAGAGAGGGCCTACTGAGAGTTGTAGGTTCCTGTCCCCTACAGAGAAAGGAAAAGGGTGAATGCAGTGTTCTGGGTTCATGATCTCAGGTCAGTCTTCTACTGAAGGGGTCTGAAGTCACATGACGGTCCACCTGCCCATCATCTTTGACAGCCTTCTTTAATTGGGAGGGATGGATTCAAGGAATGACTTGTTCACAGCTGGGGTGGTGGGGACATCTGGGTAGAGTCCCTTCCAGGCTGGTGCTAGATTTTGGGTAGGGATCCTCTTTTTCCAAACGGAGTGTCCTGGGTAGAACTGGTGGGCATGGCAGGATTCCCTTCGCGGCCTGGTCAGTGGCCTGGCGCCCCACCTGCAAAGCCGCAAGGGCTTGAGAAGGGAATGATTAGACATTTCTGCCTGGGGAGTCACTCAGAGTTTGAGGAGGATGGGAAGTGGGCTTCCGGACATAATTTTGGAATATTTTTGGGTTGGTTTTTGTTTTTAGGGCTTTTGTTTCTTTGTTTGTTTTGTGTTTTGGTTGGTTGGTTGGTTGGTTGGTTGGGTTTTTCAAGACAGGGTTTCTCTGTGTAACAGCCCTGGCTGTCCTGGAATTTGCCCTGTATACTGGGCTGGCATTGAACTCACAGAGATCTGCCCACCTCGACCTCCCAAGTGCTGGGATTAAAGGTGTGCCACCACCGCCCAGCTTTTCCCAAACTTAATTTTAAAAGGAGTGAGCCCCTCTGGTAAGCAGCCCTGAGCAGGGCAAAGGAGAGGAGATGGCCCCGTTTTCACCAGGTTCAGGACCAGTTTGCTCAGTCTCCTTTAGAGTTCTTTTCAGCCTTTTTCTCTGACCTGAGTTCTGTGTCTTATATGCACAATATAATTTCCAGCTCATATTTAATACCTTCGTCAGATTTTGAGACACTTTGGCCACGAAGGGCAGGCCATTGTCCTACCTCGAAACTAGGGGGTTCATTTCCTGAAGAAGTTTCTTAGTGACTATTGGGGCCCTCTATGTTCGTGTGGGGCAGGCCTCCGATTGTCCTGAGAAGGTGTCTACAAACACCAGCAAATATTTATAGCCAAAAGCAACCGGATCGATTTCAGTAAAGTCCAGTTCCCCGTGTTCCCCACGTCCACTTCCTGGGTCCTGAATCCCTTGTAGAATCTTTCTTCTCCCTTTGGGGTTTACCTGAGCACAGGTGGCAGCTACATGTGGTGATGTCATCCGGCTTCTCTGATTTGGGATATAATACTCGGATCTGAGGAATTCAGAAGGTTTTGTGTGTCCACTAGGCGGGTGGCTTGGTGGGATTCCATAACCAGTCACCATCCAGAGTCACAGGAAGGCACCCGATATCCTTGTTTATCCTGTTTTGCTTGTTCTCGTTTCTCGCCGGGGCTGTATTTTGACTGTATTTTGGTTGGTCTTGTAAGCTGGGATCCCGCAGGGCTACGAAGACTTGGTTCAGACTTAAAGTTTGCAGTGATCTTAGCACAGACCATGAAAAATCATGTCCGGGGACTTTAACTTTCTTCAATAAACCTTGAGCCCCCTCCAAGCTACTCTGTGGTTTCCTGTAAGATGAGGACAAGAGTCTAAACCTCCTGGAGACGCAGAAATTAGAGTTTCTATTTTGTAAAGGGCTCAGGATGAAACAGCACACAGTTACTGCTTAAAAAGCGGTTCCTTAGTCAAAGAATCAAGGACTGCATCCATGGCATCACACAGTGAAGGCAGAAACAGACTGGCAGATACGCTTTCTGCCAGTGTGGTCTTGTGGACACGTGTCTTCTCTTGAGGAAGCAGATGCTGTTACTGGCCACAGCCTAACACAATCCTTGCTCCATGGTTGCTGATCCCAAGTTCATTTTAGCTGTCACAAGAAAAGACTGTAGAATGTAGAAGGAATACACTTTGGTAGTGAGAGACTCTGAGCCTTTACTCTGTGGTACTCTGTGGGGCATGCTGGAGATCTGGGGGAAGGGCACTCCAGAAGCCGGTGCAATGCCCTGGGCTAGAGTCTTGGTGGCCTGCGTTAGGGGCATCAGGAGCATCCCTTTCTGGTGGGAGGTGCAGAGGGCAGGGAGGAAAAGTGGGAGCAGGCGAGGAGAGTCCTGCCGTCCAAAGGTGAGATGGTGGTTGAATGGCCGAGCTTTTCGGTTCTCAGGAGCAGGATGCGGTGCCCTGATGCAGACAGGATGCCTCCTCTAGCTGCGGTATTAGAAGCGGTCCACAAGGACTCAAGGGCAGAAGAGGCGAGGGCAGCAAGGAGGATGCTGCCACAGCCAAGGACTTGTGGACTGAATACAAAGTTGAGGTATTAGCCTCGGCCTCGGTGAGAGGGCCGATTCAGTTGCCGTTTGTTAGGGGAAAATATTGAATTCTATCTTTTTGCCAGCATTATGTTGACTGAAAGCGCAGCCAACGGAACGTTGCTCTTGGACCTGAACAAGTTCTGCTTTGATGACGACAGTGAAGCTCCGAACAACCAATTCAACTTCACCACGCCATCTGGAGCGGGGAGCAGCGGCAGATTCTCACAGCATCCAGCTGGCTCCGGGAGAATTGTGGTCAGTTCATGGTCATTGGCTCATTAAAGGGACGCTGGGGAAGCTGGTTCAACATGCCTGGTGCGTCTGCTGCCCTGCAGAGAGAACTTTGCAAGGCAGGCTCCTCTCAGAGCCGCCGTAACTGACAGACTTAATCGTGGCTGTGTGTTCCTGTCCGCCCTTTATTTCACTTTATTTCACTCAGGCTTCCGCATCCTTCATTACCCAGAGCTGGACTGGGGCCTGAGGACTTTGCAAGCCTGCTAACTGAGCTGTTGCAGACATAGCGGTGCCCTCTGTGAGCACGCTCTTCTGTTGTTTGAGTGCTCGCACCTCAAATGAGGTGCCAGGGGGAGAGACCAGCCCCGGCCATCCTGAGAGATTCTGCACCACAGAACCACAGAGACCCCAGAGCCACCGAGGTGGGCTGGATCGGGTTCAGCACCGTTGTGTGGCCTCTGTTCACACAGGGCTCCTGCTGTAGGGAAGGATAAAAGAGCGAAAACGAAGGCCGTGGCAAGGGTCCTGAGCGGGTGTTTCCAGCAGAACCTTGGGGTTGCCACCGCCTTTCTCCTCAGCTTTTTCTACCTCCCATTTCAAACTGTCTTCAATCCCTTAGAAAGTCATGGGGTCATTAAAAAAAAAAAAAAAAACAACTAATTTCGATTTTGGGGAAATTCTTATTTTTTTCTTAGTTTCCTAATCCATAGCCACCATTTAAGATGTAGAAAACACTGAAGAATGTCACCATATAGGGGTGAACACTGTCAACATTTTGATATATTTTTCTTCTCTATATGATTTTATGTATCTACATATATGCTTACATGTATGTTAAATAATGGAAACTATTCCCGTATAAAAGGTTTCGTTTTGTACTTTTCTTCAGTTGTTCTGAAGGTCTGAACCTCGTTTGTTGGGCAATAGTGCTAACTAGTTAGGTGGACTATTGGAGATAGATTTTCTCCTCTGGTAAATTCTTCTGAGTAAGCTCTCCAGCTCCACCAGAGTATGGTCATGTCTGAAAACTCCTCAAATGTCCCAGCAAATGGTTTTCCTGCTGTCATCCACATAGCCGCTAACTGTATGGAAATAGATTGTCAGCTCAAAAATGGGACTGTTTATCCTGTGTGATCTATTTTCTCTGTTTTGACCTAGTTAATTGGTGATCTAGATTATGAAAACCCAAGCAACCTAGCAGCTGGCAATGGATACAAGGTGATAATCCAGGTGCAAGATGTTGCCCCTCCGTACTATAAAAGCAAGTACCCTTTTTTATTGTTTTTATTGAGCTATTCATTTTTTTCTGCTCCCCTCCCTTCTTCTTCCCTCCCCCCTACCCTCCCTCAAGGCCCCCATGCTCCTAGTTTACTCAGGAGATCTTGTCTTCTTCTACTTCCCATGTAGATTAGATCCATGTATGTCTCTCTTAGGGCCCTCATTGTTGTCCTGTGTGCTAGATTCATCTCAGTCAGCAGTTTGGTGAAGTAATTTTTGGGGGGGGGGTGTTCACAGAAACCTTTCAGGAGATCTTGTTCCATCAAATCATATTAGTCTGGAAGCAATCCACAGGTTCTCATCCTCCATGGAAGCAAAAGAACCTCTTTTCCAAAGCAACACATTCATAGGCTCAAACTTTGAAGTCAAGAAACCTTTAAAAACATATATGTTCGTTTAGTTTAGCAGTCCCCAGAATCAAATGTCTCTCTGCAGTCAAAATATTCAAAGAAAACACAATAATATACATAATCTAGACTCTCTGTGTATATTTTATCTTTACATGGCTTGTCTTTACTTCTTTAAATCTATGACTGTAACTCTGTCTCTTTAAAGACTTTATCTTTTTTAAAAAACATTTACTTCTTTTTATAAATATCTATATTCCTTTTCTTCTCTCTCCCAAGTCTACGTTCATTTATTCAACACTGACTGATTTAGAGGTCTTTTCCATTTGAATCTGTCTTTATTGTATGTCTGTAATTATTTTCTGGCCAGAAGCACTTCTTAAAATGCTAAGCACTTCTTAAGAATCTAAGCTGCGGCATTGCTAGGGTATATACAGCCCTGCCTGCTTGCTCTGCCCAGTCCAACATGGCGGAAGTCCGTCAGTGCCTGAGACTGCTGGGTGGGAGTCGTCCTCACCACTTCAACTCTGATAACCAGTTGGCCCATGCTGGCACCATTGAACTTGTACGCTGTCCACAAACCACATTTAAATGCTCCATGGCTGGACCTCCAGGAAGAGTCAGAGTTCTCACGGGCAGCACAGCCCAGAAAGCCAGCATTTCAAAGCAACACAGCTTTTTTTTTTTTCTGCTGGCACTGAATCAGGAAAACCTCTCTTAAAGGAGCCATGCCTCTGCTTGCTTCTAGCAAACAGAGCCCACCCAAGAAAATGCCATTGCCAAACCATGTTTAACTCTGTTCTTTTGTGTCTAGGATTCCTTTTAAGCTTTCTCAGGGTTTAAGTTATTGTAGTTGGCCACGCTGGCACCCATTTGTTGTAAGGAGGCTGCTTGTTTGTTTCCCAGCCACTTGGCAGCTCAGATCGGAAATAATCACACAGAAACTGTATTATTTAAAGCACTACTTGGCCCATTAGCTCTAGCTTCTTATTGACTAACTCTTACACCTTAATTTAAACCATTTCTAGTAACCCAAGGCTGTGGTTTACCAGGTAAAGTTCTGGCATCTGTCTCTGGCAGGGCGACATGGCTTCTCCTCAACTCTGCCTCCTTTCTCCCAGTATTCAGTTGAGTTTTCCCCACCTGCTCTACTCCCTGCACTGGCCCAGACAGTTTCTTTATTAGCTGATGGTATTCACAGCATACAGAGGGGAATCCCACACCAGTCCCATTTATTAATTCTTCCTCTCAGTGTCTGTGCTACTGGGGTTATATTTAAGAAGTGGTCTCCTGTACCAATGCCTTCAAGAGTACTTCCCACTTTCTCTTCTATGAGGTTCAGTGTGGCTGGTTGTATGTTGAGGTCTTTGATCCAATTGGACTTGAGTTTTATGCATGGTGATAGATATGGGTCTATTTTCATTCTTTTACATGTTGATATCCAGTTAAGGTGGCACCATTCATTGAATATGCTTTCTTTTTTTCCATATAACATTTTTTTGCTTATTTGTCAAAAATCAGGTGTTCATAGGTTTGTAGATTGAAATCTGGATCTTCAGTTTGGTTTCTTTGGTCCTCCTGTCTGTTCTTTATGCCTATACCAGGCTGTTTTCAGTACTGTAGCTCTGTAGTAGAGTTTGAAGTCAAGGATTGTAATGCTCCCAGAAGTTCTTTTATTGTATAGGATTGTTTTGGCTATCCTGAGCTTTTTGTTTTTCCAAATGAAGTTGAGTATTGTTCTTTTGAGGTCTGTGAATAATTTTATTGGGATTTTGAGGGACATTGCATAGAATCTGTAGATTGCTTTTGGTAAGATTGCAATTTTTACTGTGTTAATTCTACCTACCCAAGAGCATAGGAGATCTTTCAATTTTCTAGTGTCTTTTTCAATTTTTTTCAAAGATTTAAAGTTCTTGTTATACAGGTCTTCCACTTGTTTGGTTAGAGTTACTTCAAGATATTTTATGTTATTTATCATATTTATGTTATTATTGTGAAGGGTGGTGTTTCTCTGATTTCTTTCTCAGCCCATTTATTATATGTGTAAAATAGGGCTACTGATTTATTCGAGTTAATCTTGTATCCTGCTATATTACTGAAGGTGATTGTGAGTTGTAGAAGTTCCTTGATAGAATTTTTTGGGTCCCTTATATAAACTATCATATTTTCAGAAATAGTGAGAGTCTGACGACTTTTCTAATTTGTATCCCCTTGTTCTCCTTTTATTGTCTTCTTATTGCTCTAGCTAGAACCTCAACTACTATATTGAATAGATATGGAAAGAGTGGAAACCCTTGTCTTGTTCCTGATTTCAATGGGATCACTGTGAGTTTCTCTCCATTTAGTTTGCCGTTGGCTTGCTGTGTATTGCCTTTATTATGTGTAGGTATGTTCCTTGTATCCCTGCTCTCTCCAAGATCTTTATCATGAAGGGATATTGTATTTTGTCAAAGGCATTTTCAGCATCTAATGAGATGATCATGTGAATTTTTTTCCAGTTTGTTTTTATGGTGGATTACATTAACAGATTTTCATATGTTGAACCATACCTGCATCTGTGGGATGAAACCAACTTGATCATGGTGGATAATTTTTCTGATTTGCTCTTGGATTTGGTTTGCCAGTAGTTTATTGACTATTTTTGCAGCAATGTTTATGAGGGAGATTGGTCTGTAATTCTCTATCTTAGTAATGTCTTTGTGTGGTTTGGGTATCAGAGTAATTGTAGCCTCATAAAAAGAGCTTGATAATGTTTCATCTGTTTCTATTTGTATGGAACAATTTGAGGAATATTGGTATTAGTTTTTCTTTGAAAATCTTGTAGAATTCTGCGCTGAAACCATCTGATCCTGGGCTTTTTTTTGTGGGGGGGGGGGTTGGGAGGTTTTTGATGATTATTTTTATTTCTTTAGCAGTTATAGGTCTATTAAATTTATTTCATTTGCTTATCTGGTCTTGATTTAATTTTGGTAAGTGATATTTATCCAGAAAATTGTTCATTTCTTTTAAGTTTTCAATTTTGTGGAGTACAGGTTTTTGAAATATGACCTAATGATTCTCTGGATTTCCTCCATGTCTGTTGTTATGTCCCCCTTTTCATTTCTGATTTTGTTAATTTGAATGTTCTCTCTCTGCCTTTTGGTTAGTTTGGATTAAGATTTGTATATTTGGTTGATTTTCTCAAACTCTGTCTCACTGATTCTTTGTATTGTTTTCTTTGTTTCTATTTTGTTGCTTTCACCTCTCAGTTTGTTTATTTCCTGTCATCTAGTCCTCCTGGGTGAGTTTGCTTCTTTTTGTTCTAGAGCTTTCAGGTGTTGTGTTAATTCACTAGTGTGGGATTTTCCCAGCTTCTTTATGTAAGCATTTAGTGCTATGAATTTTTCTCTTAACACTGCTTTCATTGTGTCCCATAAATTTGGGTACATTGTGTAGTCATTTTCACTGAATTTTAGGAAGTCTTTGATTTCTTAGTACCCTTTTGAATTATTTCATATGGCTTCTCCCTCGGCAGCAATGATTGAACTGCTTTAGGCAGTTCTAGGTATTGGGCACAGGGGCTTCTGTTACATCCACCAATGAGGCCCCAGCATCTACCTCCTCCCGGGGGGTGGGGAGGTCAGAATTACAACACTCGAGTGTTCTTGGAGTCCTGTCCTTTCCACTTGCTACTTTTCACACGGCTTCACTATTTCCAGTGATTTTTCAGGAAGTGCAAATACTAACACATAACTACATTGGATGTGTGCTGCAGTTGTCACGTTCATGTTTAAACTCTTGGGTTTGGCACACAAGCACTTCCATGATCTTCATCTGTCAATGCCAATCACTGCAGCGGCCATGAGAGAAAAACAAAGTTTTATGCCATGGTGTTTTTACATACGGCTAGAACTCTCCCTCCCGTTCTACACTACTCCCACACTTCACTGTCCCCTATACCACTCTCTCCCTATTCCACACTGTTCACTTACTGTATATTTTCACAATCACTCATCTGTCTCTCTTTGTCCATCTCAGGCTTTTCTCAAACCTTCTCCTCCAGGTTCAGCAGTGGTTTGTGTTTGTGTTGTTGGGGAAATCTACCTCTAAGTGTCTTGGAGACAGGTCTCTCCTGTACCTCAGCCCACACTTACAAGATGCTTTTAAATGCCCACTGAACATATGGGTACAGGTTGTGGTGTAACTTAATTTTCATTTCCCTTTTTAGACAACATCTACATTTTCATTCTAACAAGTCCAGAAAATGAATTTCCACTCACCTTTGATAGACCATCATACATATTTGATGTGTCAGAAACAAGACCAGGTGGGTAAGCGCAAAATCACAGACCATAGGATCTTGCCAGGCTTTATCTGACTTCAGTCTCTACAGACGCACAGCTCCTGGCTGAGACCACCAGAAGGTTTTCACAGGTTCATGGCTGTTTTGTGTTACTGCATCCTTCCTTGCTTGCTTACCTCCCTCGCTCCCTCTTTTCCCCCTCTCTGCCCCTACTCTCTCTTGCTCTATTCTCTCTCTTTTTTGAATTGCTCTTGGTACTCCAGAGACCTCCAGGTTAAACATGGATCTTGAAAACTTGGTTAAACTGCATTTCCCTGAATGCCCGGATTGCTTCCTTGCTGTCTGCCTGGTTTCTGCTAATCCTCCATGTTGTAGACAACATTTCTTCTTGATTTCCTCCGTGATGTTTGACCGACTTGCTCAGGGAATTGGAATTTTCAGGTAATAAAGACTCCCCACCTCTCTAGTTCCTTTCTTTAAAGACAAAACAGGGCATCTTCCTCTTCTTAAGTTTTTTGGCAGTCTTATTTTCTGCCTTTATAATGATATTTTGATTTTTATGGTCTATTCTTAAATTAAGAAAAGATTCCCATGACCAACATGGAGGTACATGCCTGTAATCCTAGCACTTGGTGAAGGAATGAGTAACAGTAGTTCAGACCCATCTCCTATAGTATAAAAAGTGCAGGGTCAGCCTGGACCACGTGAGACCCTGTTAGAAGACACACACACACACACACACACACACACACACACACACACACACACACCACGGAGGGTATGATAGGTAGGTAGTTGGTAGATAGGTAGGTAGATATGTAGGTAGATAGATAGATAGACAGATGATAGATTGATGGATAGATGGATGGAAGGATGAATGGATAGATAGATAGATAGATTGATAGATTGATGGATGGATGATAGATAGATTGATGGATAGATGGATGGATGGATGAATGGATAGATATATAGATGATTGATAGATGGATAGCTAGATAGATGATAGATGATAGATAGATGGATAGATAGATGGATAGATAGATAGATAGATAGATAGATAGATAGATAGATAGATAGATGATAGAAACTGAGAACATGAGAGAGGAAAGCACCCTTGATCCCTGCTTCAGTTTCTCTTCTTCTCTCCTGACTTGAAGGTACAAAGTGTTATCTTTCTGGTATCTGGCATATGCTATTAGATCTAATAGATCCTCTCCCGCCATGTACTTTGAGATCATGGGTCTTTCTTCTATAATAAAAAACCAAATCAAATCAGAGCACCCACCCCCATTATCCCTATCTATTTTATTCTCATGACTGTCTCTGTTTTCTGATATTATGTTTCAAAACAAAACACAAGAAGATGGTCCTGGGAGCACAGTTATCTCCCTACAGGGAGCATGGTTGTTAGCTCCTTATGGGAAGCACTGTTAGCTCCCTGCAGGGAACACAGTGTTAGCTCCTTACAGGTAGCACAGTGTTAGCACCTTACAAGGAGCCGTGTTAGCTTCTTACAGGGAACACAGTTAGCTCCTTACAGGGAGCACGGTTAACTCCCTGCAGGGAACACAGTGTTAGCTCCTTACAAGGAGCCGTGTTAGCTTCTTACAGGGAACACAGTTAGCTCCTTACAGGGAGCACAGTTAACTCCCTGCAGGGAACACAGTTAGCTCCTCATAGGGAGCACAGTGTTAACACATTACAAGGAACAGTGTTAGCTCCTTACGGGAAGCACTGATAGCTCCATGCAGGGAACACAGTTAGCTTTTTACATATTGCCCTGTGTAGTCTATCTGTTCAACAGGACCAAACACTTTACATACACCCTGGCTTCAGTACTGTGGTTTGGTCGTCTTCCCTGGGTCACACACTTAGGTGCTGGCCTGTACAGTTGAGGAACAAGGTCTCTGACTCACAGGAGTGAAATTTATGGGAAAGGAGTTCTACAAAACAAGCTACTCAGAACCTCAACAGCCCTACCAGCACTTGTAAGATAAGCAGAAATAGCAGAATTTAAACATCTATACTCAGTATTCATCAATTGCTATATCCTTTTTTAAGATTTATTTATTTTTATTTTATGTGTATGAATGTTTTGGCTGTATGCATGTATGTGTATATGTATCTCGTGTGTCTGGTGCCTACAGAGGCCAGAAGAGGGCGTCAGATCTCCCCAAAATGTGGTTACAAATGTCTGCAAACCACCATGTGGGTGCTGAAAATCAAATTTGTGCCCTTGAAAGAGCAACAGGTGCTCTTAACCACTGAGCCACCTCTCTAGCCCCAGTGTGAGCTCATTATAGAAAATTTGAAAAATGTAAAAGACTTTTAGATAGCACTATTGCTGAAAGTTGGGTGTGGGGATATGCCTGCTGGTTCTCATCATTTATGGGGGTGATGTAATGGGTGCCTTTGAGCTTCTAGGGTGTGAATTCCCTCTCCCATGTCGAGCCCGGCTTGGACTACTGGCCCACTTTCTCGCTGGGTGCTTGTTTGTATTCCTTGAATTTAATAGAATTGAATATTTAAAATATACAGGCTTCTGACAACTAGGAAGACTCCAAAAGTCTGGCTACGGCAGTGAGGATGCCTCCCCCTCAAGTCGGTATTAATCATTCTCTATTCCTGCAGCTAGAACCCGCGTTGGGCGTGTGCGAGCGACCGACACAGACTTCCCCCAGAGGAGCGTGGTGTATTCCATATCCAGCGGAGGGGCCAGCCTCCGGCACCCAAACATATTTTGGATTAATCCCAAGACAGGAGAACTCCAGCTAGTAACTAAAGCTGACCACGAAACCACTGCCATCTACACTCTCACAGTCGAGGCCACCAACGGCGAGGACACAAGCTCAGTCACTGTGAGTTGGGGTTGCCGGGTCTCCCCATCTCACGCCCCTGCCCCAGCTGATTGACTCAGGCTGGCCCTGGCCCGCTCAGCATGTAGCTACAGCAAGATGGGGCGATGAAGGAGTAGTTGCCAGGACATAAAGATCACAGCTTTCTTTGAGGCGCACATTTGTGAGTGACCGAGAGCGATACTCAGACTGATGACAAGACGCTGGTGTGTCTGCTGAACCCACAAAGCCACTTAGTGGGACAAAGATCCTCCTGGTGCCCTGTAAATCTTTCTTTGTCTTCTATGGGTTGGTGGTAAGTGGCAAGCTGCCAAGGTGGGTTGGTTTTGTAGCTCTTAATCTCTTCCCGGAGCAGTGTTGCCTGTTTCTGCCCCACCCCCGTGCTCACCAGGTGGGGTAGATATTACACGACGTTGTGGCTCAACCTTGTGCCACGGTGGTACAATCGCTGACTCTGGCTACCGAGGAAGGAAAGAGCGGTGCCCTGGTTCCTGGTTCTGGAGATTCAAACCCATCTGTTTGGGCCTTTGGTGAGGGTGGCATGTGGTGAGATGTGTTTGTTTTTGTTTTGTTTTGTTTTATTGAGACAGGGTTTCTCTGTGTAACCACCCTGGCTGACCTGGAACTCACTCTGTGGATCAGGCTGGCCTTGAACTCAGAGACTCGCCTGGCGGTACTATGCGTGTTTTAGACAACGCTCACTCAGATAGCGAGAGTCAAGAAGCAAGGAGAAGACAGGCCAGGGTTCCACAGTGCTTCCAAGAATGTCCCCTTAATGACCTGTGAACCTCCCATGAGACACTACCTCCCATAGGTCCCGCACTCCATGGCGGTGCCAGACTGGGCATACAAGCCTTTGGCACATGGACCTGTGAGGGACCCAGATCTGTTTGTGGATGTCTGCCGATACGTTGCAGCTCAGTATTCCTTGCTGAGACTCTCACTGAATGCAGATTCTCAGTGCACAGTCTGTGGGACCTGAGTTCCCATACCACACCCGGCACGTTTCCCAGGGGCACCACGCTGCACCCAAGCCTCGCTGAGGGTCTGGTGGGTCTGCGGGGTGAGTGTGGGGAGGACCTAAGGGCAGCATGACAGCCATGAAGATCCATTAGTGAAGCGAAAAGGCTTGAGGGAAGCGGCTTGCCTGGCAGCTGTGTGGTAGGAGCAGCAAGGGACGTGCAGGGAGGAGAATGAATTCATTTCTTAGCCATGCTCCCAAATTTCTGAGAGGGTACGGGCAAGGCTTATCTCTATGACCTTATTTCTGCGGAAAGTCACGTGATAAACCAGTGCCCAAGTTGTTTGCTTCCTCTGGCGACTTGCTTTGAATTAATGGGCTGAAGTTCTCAGCGATGCACGGGGTTCCGAATTGCTGGCAAAAAGAGTTGGAGATAATTGCGGTGTTTGTTAGGTTGTATTTTTTTTTCTTCTTTCATTTTTTTTAAAGAGAAAAATGAATGGACTCCACTCTGGGAGCTAACTAGAGTGAACATTTCAATTTATTTCCGGTCTCAGAAAGAGCTGAAATCCCTAAATTTCCAAAGCAGAATGAATATGACTCAAATTTCATAAGCCTTTAGAAAGGGTGACGAGCCAAAGCGATCATGCAGGTACCTTTCAGGACTGACACTGAGGGAGCCTGCACTGGCAGGAATCCCAGTCGGTTCACCAGGCGATGAGTTGGCCTGCTTGGGGAGAGTCAGCTGAGAACTCAGAGTAGTTATAACCGCCCAGGCTACAGGTGAGACCCTGGCAAAACCAGGGCTTCAGCTCTATTGCCTTGTGTCTTAGACCTGGCTGCCTAGTATCGTCAGCTGAGGAACATAACAGAGAGTGCCTGGGCCCCCCAGGTGGGCCCAAGAAAGTGGTTCCAGGCTTGAGAACCATTGTGATGTACACCAAAATGAGAAACTAGTTTCGGGTTCCCAGGGGACAGTGTATAAGTAAATATATAAGTCCATGGCCATTGTGGAAAGAATCTGGCATTGTCTTTGGGAGCATGTGTGTTGAAGAATGATATTTGCATATCTGCACTCTACATGCACACACCTACACCTGCACATGAGCACACACAACCGAGATGCTAACAGCAATAATAGGATTTGGAGTAAGCTAGAAGGACCCTGAAATCTTGGCCTGCCCCTCACTATTTGAGGAGGGTTGTGCCAATCACCTGCTGTCTCTCGGCCACCTGTTCTCACTCACACACGAGGCTAGATCAGTGAATTCACGCAGATTGTGAATCCCACACAGCGAGCGGTCACTACACTTTAGCTCTTAGGAGTTACTGTCTGGGGCCAACAGCGTGGCTCGGTAGGTAAAGGCACTTGCTGCGAAACCTGAACACTTGGGTTTGACCTCTGGGATCCCCACGGTGAAAGGAAAGAACTGGCAACCACAAGCTGCCCACACAGCGCGCGCGCGCACACACACACACACACACACACACACTGAATAGAATGTGGGACCATTTTAACCACCTTCCGGCTCTTCTAGGTTACCATAAACATCCTTGGAGAAAATGATGAAAAGCCAATATGCACCCCAAATTTTTACTTCATGGCCATCCCAGTGGATCTGAAAGTTGGCACAAACATTCAGAATTTCAAGTTGACGTGTACCGACCTGGATTCTAGCCCCAGATCTTTTCGATACTCCTTTGGCTCAGGTACTGTACTTGGTATCAACAGTTCTGGGCCATTCAGTGAGGGACGGGACAGTGGGTTGTGGCCCATACACTGATGTGGGCACAGCGTGGGTGTGTGAGGAAGGAGGGCCGAGGGATCCAAGGGTCCCAGTGTTTCCAGTGCTCCATCAGCTTCTCTGCCCCACCTATTTCTCCAGAAACCCCCACAACCAGACTCACGCCCACAAGGCTGTTCCAAGGCCCCAGGAAGTATAAATCCCTCTAATGGATTACTCTCCCCAAATTCCCAGAAAATCATGAGTGTAATTTTTAAAATTTATTTTAGTTCATCTCCTCACCACCTCTTCTCCTGAAGAACCTGTCATGGGGGAAGGGAATCCCAGGCCTCTCTCAGGATAAGAATAGATTAAATGCATTTTGAAACGTGTCCTCGGAATATTCTCCTGCTCCATTCATCTCCTTCCTGTAAAAATATGCCATTGTGGGAAGGAGGGGAAAAGTGCACCTCTCAATGGAAACAAAACCAGAATAGCTCATCTAATGAGGTGCTGGGGCCAGAGATTTAAACCTAAACACGCAGAGCAATTCCACAGGAAAACCTGAAAATCCATCTCGGCCGCCTGCTGAGTCTGGCAGAGCAGCGGGAAGCCTCTGAACACCGTGCCACAAACCCAGGGGCAGACGCTGCCTGGAGACCAGGGCTGCTGAGAGCGGAAATAATCCATACTGAGAGTCCCCGAGGACCTTCGGAGCACTGCGCTGAGGGGATAAAAACTGCATCATCTGCTCCATTTACTGCCCTCCAGTCAGCAGTGTGTCTGGAGACAGCAGAGGACAAGCAAGAGTCATAGTGGGGCTCCCAGCCTCCCTGCCCCAGGAGCCTGGAGCTTCAAGTTGTGGGCCCCAACAGCTCTGTGTGTGTGTCTGTGTGTGCCTGTGTGTGTGTGTGTGTCTGTGT